GTAACTCAGATGGCGGCCATTTTGGATTTGACCAATATGACGAGTAAGGCAGCCCCAAGGAGACCTCAAATCAATGAAAGAACATCAAAATCAGATTCTCTGACCCCCAAAACCCTATAAATATATAAACTATAATCATACAAGCGCTTTTCCTTTTGGAACTACGCTTGACCTTTAACTCAGATAGTGGCCATTTTGGATTTGCCCAAGATGGCAGTCCCAGAGAGCGCCCTTCTTGGCGTCCGGCAGAAATCGTAATAGTATGGTATAATCCTCTGGGGCAAATTTGGTGCTTTTAGAAGAATCTGCACCAAAATTTTCCTAACAGCCCCCACTAATACAAGTATAATTATACTTAATGAATGAAACGACTGGATAACCCATATTCAGCTTTGCCAGCTAGCTAGGGAATACACTACAGGTCTTCCCGGCGCGGGTCCATGGGGGAGGGGGGGGGGGGCGCGGGGCGAGAGGGTCTTGACCCCAAACCGCCAACAAAAAAATGAAGAGAGAGAGAGAGAGAGAGAGTCAGAGAGAGAGAGAAGGTAAAGCGGAGAGTAAGGGAAAGGAAGAAGAGGAAGAAGAAAAGAAAAGGGGGAAAAGAAGGAGATCGGGGGCGAAAGGCCTTTGCCACCCCCTCCCCCCTCCCCTCAGCAAAAGAGAGAGAGAGAGAGAGAGAGAGAGAGAGAGAGAGAAAGAAGGAAGGCAAAATAAAGGAAAGGGAAAGAAGAGACAAAGGGAAAGGAAGAAGAAAAGAAAAGGGGAAAGAAGGAGATCGGGGAGCCGCCGAAAGGGCTTTGCTTCCCAGGTTGTTGCCCCCCCCCCCCCCCAAGCAAAAAGAAAGAGAGAAGGAAGAGAAGGGAAAGAAAAAAGGGAAAAGAGGAGATAAAAAGAAAGAAAGAAAAGAAGGGGGATATCAGTTGCAGTTTTCCCGCCAGCAAGTTGGGGATCGGGGGGAGGGCAAATGGCCCTTGCCCCCCCCCCCCCCCTTCTACAGCAAACTTAAAAGAGAGAGAGAAAGGAAGAGAAGGGAAAGGGAAAGAAAAGAAAGGTACGGGAGATCAATTGTGATTTTTTCCCATCACGCGGTGTGGATCGGGGGCGAAAGGCCTTCGCCTGCCCTCCCCTGGCAAACAAAGAGAGAGAGAGAGAGAGAAGGAAGGAAAAGAAGGGAAAGGGAAAGAAGAGAGAAGAGGAAACGAGGAAGAAAAGAAAAAGGGGAAAAGAAGGAGATCGGGGGGGGGGCGGAAGGGCCTTGCCGCCCATGCTGTTGCCTCCCCCCCCCCCCCCCCGCAAAACAAGAGAGAAGGAAGGAAAGGGTAAGAAACAAAAGAAGAAAAGAAAAGAAGGGATATCAGTTGGGAAAGAGGAGAGCTAAAATGGAACACAAAAGAGGAAGAAGAAAAGAAAAGGGTGAAAAGAAGCAAAGATCAGTTGCGATTAATCCCATCAAAATCGTGTGGATCGGGGGGAGGGGGCGAAAGGCCCCTGCCTCCCTCAGCAAACTTAAATGTGTGAGAGAGAGAGAGAGAAGTAAGGGAAGGGAAAGGGGGGGGGGGGGAAAGAGGAAGAAGAAAGGTAGGGGAGATCAGTTGCAATTTGTCCCGATTTATACCCCTCCCCCCCCTTAGCAAAGAGAGAGATAGAAGGAAGGAAAAGAAGGGAAAGGGAAATAAGAGAAAAAGAAGAAGAAAAGAAAAAAGCGAAAAGAAGGAGATTGGGGGCCGGAAGGGCCTTGCCGCCCATGCTGTTGTCCCCCCCCCCCCCCGCGCAAAACAAGAGAGAAGGAAGGAAAGGGAAAGAAACAAAAGAGGAAAAGAAAAGAAGGAATATCAGTTGCAATTTTTCTGCAAACAAGATTTGGATCGCGGAGAAAGGCCTTTGACTCTGCCCCCTCCCCTCCCCGACCACCCCACCCCCTCCCCGCCAAAAAAAAAAGAGAGAAAGAAGGGAAAGGGAAAGAGGAGAGCTAAAATGAAACACAAAAGAGGAAGAAGAAAAGAAAAGGGTGAAAAGAAGCAAAGATCAGTTGCGATTAATCCCATCAAAATCGTGTGGATCGGGGGGAGGGGGCGAAAGGCCCCTGCCTCCCTCAGCAAACTTAAATGTGTGTGTGAGAGAGAGAGAGAGAGAGAGAGAGAGAGAGAAGTAAGGGAAGGGAAAGGGGGGAAAAAGAGGAAGAAGTAAGGTAGAGGAGATCAGTTGCAATTTGTCCCGATTTATACCCCTCCCCCCCCCTTAGCAAAGAGAGAGAGAGAAGGAAGGAAAAGAAGGGAAAGGGAAATAAGAGAAAAAGAAGAAGAAAAGAAAAAAGCGAAAAGAAGGAGATTGGGGGCCGGAAGGGCCTTGCCGCCCATGCTGTTGTTCCCCCCCCCCCCCCCCCCCCCCCCCCCCGCGCAAAACAAGAGAGAAGGAAGGAAAGGGAAAGAAACAAAAGAGGAAAAGAAAAGAAGGAATATCAGTTGCAATTTTTCTGCAAACAAGATTTGGATCGCGGAGAAAGGCCTTTGTCTCTGCCCCCTCCCCATCCCGACCACCCCACCCCTTCCCCGCCAAAAAAAAAGAGAGAAAGAAGGGAAAGGGAAAGAGGAGAGCTAAAATGAAACACAAAAGAGGAAGAAGAAAAGAAAAGGGTGAAAAGAAGCAAAGATCAGTTGCGATTAATCCCACCAAAATCGTGTGGATCGGGGGGAGGGGGCGAAAGGCCCCTGCCTCCCTCAGCAAACTTAAATGTGTGAGAGAGAGAGAGAGAGAGAGAGAGAGAGAGAGAGAGAGAGAGAGAAGTAAGGGAAGTGAAAGGGAAAGAGGAGAGAAAGGGACAGAAAACAAAGAGGAAGAAAAGAAAAGGAATTAGGGAAGATCAGTTGCGATTTTCATTGGTTCTTCTATCATCATTTTACAATTATCATTGTACAAATGTATTTATATATTCATTTATTTATTCTTGTTTGATAACAAAAATATGAATATAAACTCATAAACTCATAACAGCAACAAAATTAAATGTAGAAGGAAACTATCTTGCTGGGAGCAAGAAGCGCAAAAATTATCATGCATTTGCATGTACATGTCAGTGTATCATTAATATAATTCATATTGTTTAATTACATCTTGTGAAATAGTATGCATTCAAGCTTTGGGGATTTTTTGTTGGTGTATTTGTTTGAAAGAAAGCGTTTGGAGCTTATAATGCACATGTTGCAATTTCAGGTGCAACTTAGTGTTCAAATATGGAACACGCACGGCCAGGCACTAGTGTAGGAAATCTTCAAATGTTAATCAGGTATATGATTAAATTACTTGTCTGTTGCCTTACGAAAAAGTTTATATTTAGTCAGGCCTGAATTGAGTCGCAAAACAATTATTATGTTAAAAGGAAAAAAACATATGTGATGACATTCGAAATTCCCCAATAACCAATACGATTGGAGAGCGAGTACTCGTTTTTGTTTTTCTTCAAAACTTACTCAACTATAAATAGCTGGCCCGGATACTTGAGCCTCTCACAAAACGCAAGTATAGGCCTGATGTGTCGTCAGTGGCGTCGCTAGTCCTTTTTCAGTGGGGGGGGGGGGGGGGGGGGGGGGGATAGAGGTCAACGATTCCCGACAAAACAAGCCACCAATTAATTACCGACAAAATCAAATGTTCCAATATCTACAAATTTAACCCTATAAACCCGGGGCCAAAGGCTAAATTGTTATGCGCAAATGGTCATTGTCGTCGACGACATCAATATACAAATTATTTCGTCAACTTAGTAAGCATCATAGCTATATATTTTAATGCAGGCGCGTAGCTAGGATCTTATTTCAGGGAGGGGCGGTATTGAGCAAGCGAATCACTTAAAGAGTGCGCAAAGCGCTCCCTAGGTGGGGGAGGGGATGGGTGAAAGGCATCCCGCGCGAAGCGCAGTAGCTTAGACGTTCCATTAAATTATTATGAAAAGAAGACGATTTGTTGTACCGTTCTCGACTCTTAATCCTTGTCTGAATTCAGTTTCCCCATCCCACACGAAGCGCGGAGGCTTAGACGTTTCATTAAATTATTATAGAAAGAAGGCAATTTGTTGTATACCGTTCTCTACTCTTAACCCTAATTGTCTGAATTCAGTTTCTCCCCCTCTCGTGCGAAGCGCGGGAGCTTCGACGTTTCATTAAATTATTAGAAAAAGAAGACGATTCATTGAACCGACTCTAAATCATTGTCTGAAGTTTCAAAAATGTTTCTTTGTCCGATAAAAAGTCACAGCTCTAAGGGGAACAAATTGCTGGCCGACCGACATAAAAAATACCACCGACTTCAACCCCACACCCCCCCCCCCCTTTAGCGACGCCCCTGAATGTAGAGTGGCCTGAGCGGGTAGGCACAGGGCGTGGTTCTAAACTTACAGAGACAATTCGATGAAGACACCTTTATTTCATGATTGCGTGTGTTGAACTGCCATGGGCTTTACAACTTTAAACCTCCAGGGTTTATTTTGCATATATAGGGATTTACATGATCATTTATATAATAAAAGGAAATAATGAATATTCAAATATCATAGGTAGCAAATAAAGGATGACTAACAGAGGAATGAAAACAAACAGATAGGAGAGGATGATCAAGCATAATGATGTGCACCAATCTATACATGTGAATTACTAAGTAGCCTGTTCACACTACAGCTCTACAATTAATAACAAAGCATTTGTAGCCTTACTTTTAAGCAGTTGAAGAAATTAATAAAAGTAGGCCTACTTGAAGAAATCGTTGAATTATAAGATATTCAGTTTATTTTATTAAGTATGACAAAACACACATTTAACACCTTTGGAAAAAATAATACCCCAGGAACGTGAAAAACAAAACTTTTATTGTCACACATGTACGGAAGCCCATTAGTGCCACCTACGAAATAAATTTAAGAGAAATTATCTGGCGGCCGCCAGATAATTTCTCTTAAATTTATTTCGTAGGTGGCACTAATGGGCTTCCGTAGTCTAGTCTAGTAAGGTAAATTAAATAATGAATAAAATATAAATATTGGTGTAAATAATAAGTCTACAAACGGCGCCTCATAGTCGTCCAGGTGCTTACTTGGCTATCCAACAACAAGCAAAGAGCGCGCTGGATGAAATGACCTTATTTCTAGAGTCGTAAGTAAGGTGACCACGTTCACCACCCAATCTGTAACAAGCCATGTATTGAATCAGCAATGGTGATATTTTGTTGGTTTTTGGCAATGAAACAGCATCGTTATTTCAAATGGTTCGTGCTCTGAAAGCACTGCTTTCGTATCGGCTCTGCGCAGGACAGTGTCTATACCGGTACCGTACTTCTCCCAGGCCAGCCGCCCTCCCGACGTTCAATCCTCCTTCGCGGTGGTGAGGAAAAACAAGCGAGCACATGTGAGCCACGATATCAATATGCTGCATGTACTTGTGAGTGTGTGCTTGTACATGCTGGTGTGCTCACACAATCATAGCTGGATTACTATCCTGGCTGTGATTTAAAACCTGTTTGATTGATTCTCAACATTTCAAAAACCATTGTGACTGTACAAAACTAAACTGTTTTCACTCAAAATCTGTACTTTAGTGACAATTGATGACACCTAAATAGCAGTAAAACTAAAATACAATATTTTCATCTCACCGATGACGATGTTAGAAAGAATAAGCTAAAAATTAAAATCGAGAGTCAACTGTCGAACTTGCTTACATTACAGCCGCATCGGCATGATTGTGTGCATTTGTGTATTATAAGTGTATTGTTATGTGTGCAAATGCTGCCTATAACACATAGTGCAGCGCTAGAGGTCACTACGCATTAGTATTGACTCTCGTGCTTTGCTGGAGTGGATGTGCTTTGATGTTGATTCAGCCCCTTTCATTCATATCAACAATAGAGTACTCGACCTAATTTATTGGACATTTCAAAATTTGTATCAATAATAATATACAGATATTGACTGGCACTGCACTGGCAGAGGGGTGAAATTTTAGTCAGACTGCTGAAGAGTGAATTAAGTTATATTTTCCCAAGACCAAGTGGTTGTATTTCTCCGAAGCGCTGAGGAAGAATATGGTCACGAGGGTAAGTACCCTTCAGGTCCGAGGAATGTTATATACCCCTGCCAGTCAATTGCTGTTATATTAGAAAGCCTGGTTTTTATTTATTTTTTTTTTTTGAGGGGGGGGGGGGGGGCGGGCTTTATTTTCGTTTACACAAATTTTTTTTCCATATTTTTTTGACAAACAAATTTTTAAAACAGAGAGTGAGAAAAAAAATAATACTCCAGGAATAAGAAATCCTGTTAAAGGTAAAGACCTTTGGAAATGCTCCCCTCTCAAAAAAAATGAAATGGAAGCTTTTATTACCAATCCTGTGAAAGAATATGTTTTGACTAATACGTGATGATACAAAGTTTACTGGGAAACTGCCTACAAATTGATATATTTGGTAAATTATTAAATCTATTTGGACCTGATAGATATCGTGCATGTGTCGTGCATATGTCGCGCATGTGTCACGCATGCGTCGCATAGTCCCATATACATCTTTCTGTGTACAGTGCTTGTAACTTTATCAAGACTTATCTTTCACAATGCATTCGCATGACCAGAACTGGTCTTTAACTTTAAAAAATAATTTTGAGGGGGCAAAAATATGGGAGAAAAAAAAAATTCAAGGGAAATAAAAAAATAGAGAAGAAAAAAAAAAAACATGGGAGGAAAAAAAAATTCAAGGGAAATAAAAAAAATAGAGAAGAAAAAAATACCGGGTACAGACAAACCTAAAGAGGCAACATGCATTGATTAAAAATATATTCATTTTACCAGCTGGTCAACATAACCATCGAAAGTGACCGGCCAGGAGAATATAACAATTACGATCGTCACAATCGATATCATGTGACCAATGTCACCTCAGTATCTGTCTAAGCTATCTAATATTATAGATATATTGACTGCTATGAGTCTGAGTATGACTCTTGAATATGAGGCGCGCAGCAGATAGACCGACTCTGAGGTCCGATAGAGAATAGAGATGAGATGTACCAGTAGGGGGGAGTGGCAGGATTGCCAAATATAGTCTAATACTAGGCCACCCTGTTTGTTTTGTTAGATATTTTGCCTGAACTTTAATAAAGCAGAAAGACTTAAAACTGTATACACTTGAGCCTGAATCCTTTTTTTCTGGTTTCACTACAAGTACAAAAAGAAACGAGCAATACATTTTGCATGGCCAGATACATGGGGGTTAAACTTTATCTGAGATTATGCTCAAATGGCAAAATTTCTTCCTTTTTATGTTCAAATTTGACCTAGAGTTAGAAAATTTTATATCAAATTTCTTGCCCTGATTTTGCCACAATTACCTTTACAAAAAAGTATTACTTTATGAATGTTATGTACATGTATATAGAATAACATACATGTAAAAGACATGTCAGCTGCAATGCATACCAATGTAATGCACATGCCAATGTAATATACATACCAGCCAGTAACAATAGCACAATAGATAGATATCTGAATAGCATACCATCGCCACTATATGAAGAATGTCACTGCTTTGAACTTCCAAGCCACTTTACTACCCACAACCAAGTAGAAAGGACACTCCCTTAAATCTCAGGTAAAGCACATACCGGTATCTTATAGTGTATCAGAGATACAACAGTGAACACTGATTTCTTGCTTTTGACTTGCATCGACAATGTAATTTAAATGGGAACATTGATATAATCTTTGTATCACCAACAGTGTGTATCTTCATCACCTTGAAGCAGCATTTACACTGGAAGAAGAAGAAGAGCTGATAAGAAACCTACAAGGCAAGATGAGAAACTTCTTGGGTCTCACGAGTCTCTACTGTTGCCATACTTATGAGGACACAGGAGAAATTTGTCTGGTTCAAGGAAGGCATGGTGGCAGCTGAGCTGGGACTCGATCATGATGTGGAGATGGAGGTGTCTTGTGTTTCTTATTACAGATCCATCGGTATGTTTAAAGATCTTTGGATGAAGCGATGCTTCTCAATTTATTCTCATATATGTTTAAAAGATTTTAAGTGTGAAAGTCTACTTGTAGTTAAACATCCTTTGTGCCTTGAAACAAGACTAAGCATGACATTGTGAGTGTACCGAACCGGGCTGGCCAGAAAATACGCACAAAACGGTTAAATGATTTTATGTCGACAGCCTGTCTGGAATCTCTGCAAAATGCGAAAAATTGAACAGCGTCAATTTTTTTTCCCCTCCTTTTTGTTTTGCTTCCATTTAAAATTATTTAAAATTATTAAAAAACTTGAATTCGGCATAAATATTCATAATTAAATGACACATGCCCTTAAAACTAAAACAACAACAACAGTGTTTCAAGTACACTCCACAGTACTGCAGATACGTGTCTTTTTGTGTGTTTCTTTGCCTGACATAGCAGTGTACTTGTGTATTGACTATACAGTGTGAGTCAAAAAAAAGTTTACACCTAGAAAATTGCTAATTATTTTAAAGATCCTCTATGAACAGTAAATTGTTATACATCTTATGAAAGAGTGTTTTATCCCAAATCATTTGGTATCATTTTTGTGTGGTATGTGTTGACGCTTGAATGAACACGAGGCATCGTTTGCGAGAGTGCAAAAATTGACTTGCGCCAAAGTTGCTTATCTGATGTTTAAATAAAACAATTGGGATTTGGGTATTAATTCGGTTTTGCAGATCCAAATAACATCACTAACAACAATTTTTGTAGACTATGCTTGTCGATATTTAGTGCCTTTTCATGACTTTGAAATTAAAAATATTGGTCTAAGAGCAGAGGCAAAACATGCGATTGGATCTTGGATTATAATGTAGGTATGCATTATAATCCAAGATGGCGGCCCGCATGTTTTGCCTCTGCTCTTAGACCAACATTATTAATTTCAAAGTCATGAAAAGGCACTAAATATCAACAAACATGGTCTACAACAACTCCAAATGACAAAATAATCCCAGCCATGAATTTTTTTTGAGCATTTGATAGCCAAAAACTTGAAAATTTTCGGCAATTAAAAAAAAAAAAAAAAAAAAAAAAAAAAATCTGCCGATTTTTTTCCGATCATTTTAATTGATCGGCGATCGGAAATTATTATCCGATCACCCTGATCGGATCGGTATCGGCGGCCGATCCGATGATCGTTTACAGGGTTAGTTAGAAAGTTCTTCATAGCTCAGGTAGGTTTTTTTACATTATTGCAAGTGAAATAATGTGATGTTTACTTTGGTAATCTGTTTTATGTCAGATTGTTGGAGTACTTAAAAAGAGAAAGTGTGTTGAAATTGTATGATAATGCAGGATTTACTGTTTGGTCGAGTATAAGAATTTGCTCATTATTGATCCTTTTTAGAGTATGTGGTATAATCTTGTACCTATTAATGCACCACATTTGAGAAAGTACTTGTAGAACCTGATTTCTTTTTATACTTTGCCTTTTTCAGTATTGCCTATTGGTTTAAGTAACAATCAGTTATAGGCATTTATCTCTTAGCTTGTTTACATAATTTCATTTTATTGCGTTCTTGTTTACAGTTTTCACGGAATGAAGGAATGAAAGATATGGAATGAAGAATACAGAAATAAATGGAATGGATAAGAAATGAAGGAACAAATGTGAAGCTGTGAGATTCCAAAATAAAGTGACATTCCTGTAAAAAACCTTGTCTGAATTAATAATTGCATCTGACCACAACTACAACTACATACTCGATGGTATTCATGCTGCCAGGGGATGCCCCAAATACAGTCGACAACCACAGACGTGCTGAAAAACAATTTATGAATAGTAATTGAACTTTTTCATGGATCTTATTCTGTGCATTTTACCTTTTCCTGCCACAGATTGAAAGATAGAGTACTCACTCCTGGGCATGCCTGCATCATTCAGAGTCCGGAATCAACTGCTGGCCTGTACAATATACTGTAACAGCTCTCTGATCCCTGGTGCGTAGTCCTCATGGATTATCCAGCAAACCCTTGTCACGCATGTATCTTTGTTGTAAGTTTATTAAATATTGTAGGGAACAACCTCACTTCTTCTTCTTCTTTTTCTTCTTCTTTGAAATACAATATTCAGTGGCCTTGAGTGGGATACAAGGGAACTGAGGAGAATATTTTAAGAGTTGACACTGAGTAAAATATTCTTAAAGCAAGTGTGATATACCCTTCTTGTCCCAAGAAAGAAACGCCATTCAATAGGATTAAGTTAACTCTGTGTAGGTCAAATCTGTTGGAACTGCTAGCTTGACTAAGAAAATCATTGAATTTTATACATTTTCAAGCTTAGTGCGTGAAAAACACAACCGCGTTTGAAGTATATCCCTTTTAGTATTTAATAGCCCAAAACTCAAAAAAAAAAATTCCTTCCGATTTTCAATTTTAGACATTTGATGGCATGAAAATAGCTTTAAATGAGCTTCAAATGAGAGAATTATCCAAGGTTTGAGTGATTTTAGGTCTGAGAGTGCTCAAAATTGGCAAATTTTAGAGGCAGATAAAAAAGAAATCATCAGATTTCACTCCCGATCATCTGATACAAATATCGGGAGCCAAACCATCGATTCGATCATCCGATCTGATTATAGAACTCTCTCACTTACAGGGTTAGCTTTTTTAATGTCTCAACATCTTGAAAGGTATATTTTGTCACAATAGCCACAATACAAGAGATACTGCATTATCAGAGCCTTGTATGTTGGCTTTGAGTTTGACATTTATCCATTTTCCATTTGTTCATTTTGCTTTCACAATTATCTAGACCTACAGTTATCTGGACATGATGATTTTGAAGAGCTGCATTGCTGCAAACCCAACGTTGCCCCAAGGAGTGAGTTAGCTACATCCACTTGAGGAACACAGAATGAGGATCACAACTATTTACTGCATGCAGAAAACATTGGCAATGGCAGCAGGACAGTGCATCCATAGTCACTCCTCACATTGTTTCCAGAATGAGGATCACAAGAGAGGTTTGGCTGTCCTGTTTATATCATGGCCATGACTGATGGTTGCAAAGTTGTGTCGATGAGTCTGTATCTGCATTTCCAAATCACATTTAGAAACGTTTGCATTGTTTTGTAGGGTTTGACTGAGTCCTAATATGACTGCTAGATTTAATGGAAACTTTTGTGGGTATGTTTTCTGATCTTTACAGAGGTAAAACGTTTAGTGGTATGTTTCAATCCAGCATTGATAATCTAAGGAATTGCTCACAAAAATGAAATATTTGAGCATATCGATAATAAAAGAAGATGCAATGAAATTTGTTACAAGACAACATCTAGCTCTAGAGGGTGACTCTATGCTCGATAATGAAAAATAATAACTTTTGATTAGAATATTAGCTTAAATTATAAATGATTGTCTATGCGTCTAAACATTTGCTCCTCAAATGGATTGTGTTTTAAAAAAAAAAATTGCACTGGAGCAGTTGAACCCCTCCCTCCCCCCCACAAAAAGGAAACCAATGATAATGGTATTATGTTTAGAAGTACTGATAAGTTTTTATTTACTCTGATTCTGGTTTGTGTGTTGAATGTCTTTGTATGATTGCAGTTTGTTTGTGTATGACTATGTGATATGATCTGATTACTAAATAATTACCAGCTAGCCTTACTCAAAGCCTGGACATGTTGAATTAGATCTAAATGGACAAGCAAATTTTTACTGTTTTTTTAAAAACCTAGTTGGAAAAAAATACATCTTCTGCAGAAATGATTCAGTGCCAAAAACAGACTATATAATGTGATATATCGAAAAAATTTAGCTCTATGTTCCAATGAAAGCCAATTTTGTTGAAAAGTGTGATGCTATCCATCCGAAACATTATGACATGTAGTACATCTTGTGGACAGTCTTCTCCTTAGTTGAATTTGTTCTCAATAACTCCATCCATTTGTGAAGTTGACAGTAACCTTTCAAGCATACAAATCACCTATATGTATTGAAATACGGGTACACTTGCTCCCGAGTTCATAAAAACATGAAACTAGCAAACCTTTTCTTCAGGTTTTGAAAATGTTTGCCTACTAATTAAAACTGAATCTCTCGGAAACCAGCTACCCCCACAGGCCTTTACTAAAGAAAAATATGAGTATCCTGCTGGCGAAGACATGGTCATTATCTGCAACCTCATAAGTATTCATATGTCAGTCATTAGGCCATTCATCAAGGCATGCGCGCTTCGCTTCTCTCTATACTTCTGTTTGTGATGAGATTTGTGCACAAATTAGATTAAATTGAAGTTAAAAGAAATATGTACATGTAAGTATTATCTTAAAGAACTAGGAGCATATTTAGGATAATTGGAAATTCAATATGATTTCAAGTTTCACACTTGGCGGAATATATTCGTGAAATATGATGATTGGTTCGCTCAGACTAAGATGGTTAAAAAGTATAGTAGGCCTATAAAACACCAGCTTTAAATTGGATTAGTCTTTAAAAAAAAAAAAAAATTACCATATTTTGATTTTATGCAATCTTATTTCTAAGTTTATTTCTTACCATTAATTTACCTCTTTAAATGAATCTCCTTTATCTCTCGCATCTCTCTCCATATCTCCATTACACTCTGGCACGCCTCTTGCTTGCTAAGGTGTGCCAAGAATTGGCATTTTGCTGGGAATCACCAGTGGAGTTGCCATGCCTCTGATCAAACTGGTTCTGTAGTGTTCTCTGCAGGTGAAGGGATGCTAGAGCAGAACAATGATTAGGAACATAGTCTGCCGTGTCTCAGTCTGCTACACCAGTTGGTCCTGTGCCTTCAGAACTACATGTAGTACATGTATCCGCAAAACCCTCTACCTCTGGAGTCTCTGGAGCCAGTTCCACTTGTCTTCTTTTTCTCTTCAACATATTCGGCATATGCATTCATCAGCTCATCAAATTCGTCACCATCTAGTTTATCTGCATAGATTTGGCTTGGAAATGAATCTTGCAGTCTCCAGATAAAATCTCTGTAGACTTTAGCCTCATCCTCTGTTACTGAATCCATGAATGATTGCCAACGTAGTAGGTGAAGCGCTTTAGACATCAGTTTGTGACATCGGATACTTCTGTTGTAATGTCTCCCATTCATAACTCCATTTACTGAACCAGCAGCAAGCACTTTCGACTCTATTAGGATATCTTCAAGACCCGCATTTCTATACCTTGTACCAATGCAAGCAAGGAAAGTCATACCTGTGTGAAATGCACCCAACCTAAGCACAATTCTTTCCATGAAGAGAGGTGTTTGCCATCTGACTGACTTAGCTTTTGCATATATAGCTTGGTCCACGACTACCACAGCAGAGCGTAACTTCAGCGAACCTGTGAAATGTCACGACTACCACGGCAGAGCGTAACTTCAGCGAACCTGTGAAATGTCACCTATCTCTTTCTTCAGCACAAAGGCACATGTGTAGCATTCTCTTAGATTTGGCTCTGTCATCTGTGAAAAGTGACTCTGTTGAAAGGTCATTAATAAAGACAATTTCACTTTCATTCCTGTTCTTGGGCTGCACAAAGCAGAGTGAAGGGTACAGATTTGAAGACGCTGCTTTAGATTATAGGTTTTGTATGAGGCAATATATCCTTAACCTCAACATCTTTTACAGTTTTGACAAATTTTCTTTTCAATGCAATGAGCTCCCAAACTTTCTTGACACACGTGACATATTAATAATTCCTGCAAATTTATACATAATTTGATATTGACTGCAAAAGGGATACACTACCTTCAAGAATAGTGGGGGCTACTTTTGAAAAGAAAAATAGAACAAAATAAATCTTATCATCAAAACTCCCCATGGAGGATTCTAGCCTAGCTGCTGGTGCTACAGGATATACTATATATAGGCTGTACCCAAAACAAATTAAACCCAACTTTGATTTTGTTTTTTTGTTGTTGTTGTGGTAAATACATCATATATTTACTGGCAATGCAATTCATATCATTTAAAAGAATAATTCATGTGGTATTCAATGATACCTTGGTTAGGTGTCAAGGACCATGCATCACTGAACACCATTGTCTGTAAAATTGTGTGCAGGACTTATAATGCCAACAGCATGCTCTTTGTCGAGAGTGATTGGTTTGAGTTTGCCTGCTTTGTCAAAGTCTACAAGGAAGTTTCCTTGCCGGATTCTCTTGTTGATGTTATTTACCAGGTGGGCTAACAGCTGTTGGGTACTGTTCATCCCATGACTTTGTTCATTTTTGTTGCCATGTGAAAGCAATTTCTCAATTTCTAATCTGAGAAGTTTCTCCACAATCCTGGTAATTCCATGTAGTATGTCAAAGATGAAATGCTTCGTGGGCACTGAAGGAACTAATGAATCCAGGTGTTCCCGGTCTACAAGAATTTCCAGTTCAGTTCGTTTACCAGAAAAAGGAACACGGCTCTTTCAGATTTATTGCACTTGTCGTAAAAGTTCCATCCGGTTTCTGACATGGGAATCAATTCATTGGACCCATCTAGTAACTTGATCAGAAACATCTCATCACCAGTTATGAAGAAAGTATCATCTTTTCTTGATTTAACAAGCTGCTCTAGTATGTTCATTCCATTGGAAACCAGATTTATTCCAAGTGTGTCTCCTTAAAAGATATGAAAAGGGGTAATTGTGCTGTAGTGAGTGGATGGGCAATAGTTATGCTAGTTTGATTAGACAGGGAGAATTAATTAGCACCTAATGAGTGAATAATTGCCAATCGGTATTAAATTAAAAGAACAATAGACTAATAAAGAGATCCTTCCTCCATTTCCGTCTACGACTGTTCTTGACTAATGAGCATTTATTAAAAAAATAGTTGACCAATTAAAAGATCTTTCCGCCAATTCCATCTTTGATTAGTGTTTTTCCTCTTTGACCCATTCATAACATTTGAGCATGAATCCTTTGTCAATAGCCTTCATGAGTTTGAGGGAAACCCACGTACTGTGGAGCATTAGTTCTTGTGAATTGTCTATCGTCCACTCGCGTGTAACACAAGGGAAACATTAACTTACCATTGACTTTAAAGGGTGAGACCAGGTGGAGTAAATTTCTGGTTGGAAGTACTTTGCATCTTACCAACCCGTAGTACGCGGAGATATCCTGAAAGTTGGACATGATGACTTCTGGATGATCTCCTGGATAAGAGCTATGCTTCGTGATACTAGGGTATGGGGATGTAAAATCAACGTATCTTATTTTCTCACCCTCCTTACATTCATAATATGAGCAATTGACATTGGTGTGCCCCTCGAAAAAGGCTGCACAGGGGTTCAAAGGTACATGTTGGGTATTGACAAACTTGAAATCAGGGTGAGACAATGTGGATTCAAATGCTTTCCACTCACACTGCTACATGGTCACGTACTTGTACTTGGGCAGGATGGATTTGATATACCTTTCTTTTTCTAACGTCTCTAAGTGTAAATCACCCATGCACTGCAGATTTCCATTCCGCCTGCTTGGAGTATTATAGCTGTAGCATTTTGGACACCCATGCCAGTACTTGGGCAGGATGGATTTGATATACCTTTCTTTTTCTAACGTCTTTAAGTGTAAATCACCCATGCATTTTAGATTTCCATTCCGCCCGCTTGGAGTATTATAGCTGTAGCATTTAGGACACCCATGCCAGTACTTGGGCAGGATGGATTTGATATACCTTTCTTTTTCTAAGGTCACTAAGTGTAAATCACTCATACATCTTAGATTTCCATTCCGCTCGCATGGAGTATTATAGCTGTAGCATTTTGGACATCCATGCCAGTAACGACCATGAAATTTATATATTCAATTCAATTCTATTCAATTCTATTCATTTATTCAACGATATAAAAATAATACAATACAATACAGCATGTTGACATAATCATATATAAAGTCAACATATCGTTAGAGGCAACCAAAAAAGATCTTGTGAACTGGTGCCCCTTTTACAAAATTTACAAATTACAAGTAAAACATTAGTAATAATCACAAGCGGACACATCCAACAAACACACACACACTCCACACACAAAATCCATCGACCTAATCGAATCTCCTCTAAGATTGCTTTACTTGACTGTGAAAACTTTGGTTGTATGAGTTCCTTTGTAACCATTGCTTCATTGCTATGATGAGTAAAAAAATTTAAAAAAAAAAAAATTATAGGTATAATTACCTCTTGCCGTGATTCCGTAAGTGTCGCGAGCATGGTCTCCATCTCAGCAAATTTATTCTCCAAAACCTCAAGCCTGCCATCTAGCTGTTGGTTCCTATAGAGTAGCTGGTTGTTCTGCTTGAGCATTTGGGTGTTTTGCTCTAGCAGAACATCTGCACCCATCTGCTCTGGAAGTGCGAAAGTTGGTTCCTTCTCCAGCTCCCCAATCTGCTGTTGAACATTTCCAAGAGCCTGAAGTAGAGTGCCCTCGTCTAGTGGTATGAGCTCCCCTTCAGGCACCTCGTCGAAAATTGCCCCCTCTTTGAAGTCTAGCAGTGTTGCTATCTAAAAAAAGGTAAGGGAAATGAAGAAAAACAATATCTGAAACACTTGTATATGTTTTAACAAACATTAATATTAATGGTGGAATTGTTTAGATACACAAGAGCATTGGCATTGGAAAGCAATACAAAATTGAAAACTGAATTTAAAAGTTGATATAAACACCTTGACAGTTGTACAAGTGTCAAGAGCATGGTCTCCATCTCAGCAAACTTCATTTCCAAAACATCAAGCCTGCCATCTAGCTGTTGATTTCTCCAGAGCAGCTGTTCATTCTGCTCTAGGAGCTTGGTGTTCTGCTCCAGCAGAACATCTGCGCCCAGATGCTCTGGTAGTGCGAACGTTGGTTCCTTCTCCAGCTCCCCAATCTGCTGTTGAACATTCCCAAGAGCCTGAAGTAGAGTGCCCTCGTCTAGTGGTATGAGCTCCCCTTCAGGCACCTCGTCGAAAATTGCCCCCTCCCCAAAGTCTAGCAGTGTTGCTATCTAAATAAGGTTAGGGAAATGAAGAAAAACATTATCTGAAACACTTGTATGTTTTTTAACAAAGATTAATATTAATCTTGGAAAATTTTAGAAACACAAGAGCATTGGCATTAGAAAGCGATACAAAATTAAAAACTGAATTTAAAAATTGATATAAACACCTTGACATTTGTACAAGTGTCAAGAGCATGGTCTCCATCTCAGCAAACTTTGTTTCCAAAATAACGAGCCTGCCATCGAGCTGTTCATTTCTCCAGAGCAGCTGTTCATTCTGCTCTAGGAGCTTGACCAGTGTTCTGCTCCGGTAGGGCGAATGTCGGTTCCTTCTCCAGCTCCCCAATCTGCTGTTGAAGATTCCCCAGAGCCTGAAGTAGAGTGCCGCCGTCTAGTGGTACGAGTTCCCCTTAAGGCACCTTGTCGAAAATTGCCCCCTCCCTAAAGTCTAGCAGTGTTGCTATCTAAAATAAGGTAAGGGAAATGAAGAAAAACAATATCTGAAACACTTTTC